CCTACCAACTAACTGGAAGACGGGGGTGGCACCATATCTGTATTCAGCTCTGCGGGATTATGGATGCTACCATTGACCGGAGAGGGAGGTGGGCAAGGAATTACCAGAGAACTCAACTCAGCCCCTTGGGAAGAGTTCCCGACCACCTCACTCAGAGAGAGAAATGGAAACTACCTTTAGACTCAGCTGTGGAAGAGGATGGAACATACCATCAAGCACAACTGGGAGGGGGGTGCAGCTGGCAGGGGGATGGAGGCAACTCCCTCCAGAATCATGTCTTGAGTGGGGAGAGATCATCAAACTGGCACGTTCCCCTGGGGAACAGAACAGGGCACCACTCAGAACAACCAGGCCAAGTTGCATCACAGCTGGGATCTCAAAGTCAAATGCCCAGGTCTGGCTCAATTCTGCAAATCCATCAATCTTCAAGTCAGCTCCATAGGCAAGGTCAGGTAGGATCAAGGTGTGAACCCTTTTGCACATTGATGGAGAAATAGTGTGTTGGGGTGTCTCTGTTCATCCTGAAGAAGTGGAAGAACATAAAATACTGCTTTTGAATGTAGTGAGTGATTGAAGGAATGCCAGTTAGCTGTGAGGTTATGGCATTTTGCATAAAATTGAATCACTGTATGCTCAAGATTTGGAGCATATGGAATGCATCTAACTGCACCATCTACTTGTAAGAGGTTTCAGGTTTCTGACCCATATAGTGATTAGGGATCTGAACGGGTAACTGGTTAACCAGTTACCTGGTAAGCATCACTGTTTACAGATAACCCTTTAATGGTAATAGCTAACTGTTAGCCCACAAGGGCTGGGAGTTCCACAGCCTCGCACAGGGCATGGGGTGGGAGGGGGAAGAGCTGCCAGCTCCCAACCTGTGTAGGCTTACAGGCTCAGAGCCAGTAGCTCAGTGTGGGGTTTTAAGCAGCTGGACTGGAGCAGCCCTTGCTCCAGTCCAGCTGTGGTGGGGGGGGGGGGCAGTCTAGCCCAGCAGGATGGAACGGCTCCCCCACCTGCCCCCATTTAATCAGTTAACTGGATAACTTAATGGTTCTAGTGGTCCAGCTCCAAGATTTTGGACCTCAGTCTTTTGCATGAGATGTTCAAGTCCACAGTATGGGCAGCATCTTGGAAATATTGAAAGACGATGTGCTGGAGGTGCAGTCACAGAAGTCCCCTTGGGATTGTTCTCCGTGTGCCAATCATGCCATTGACATCCACTTTTTTGCTCTCTGGGGCTCCCCACCACCGTGTTCTCTAGGCCAGATCCTCTGGTCTCCCCCAGACAAAGCACAGAGTAGGGGTAACTGCCCTCCTGCAGAGCAATGCAGACACTAAATCACTTCAACTCTGGGAAGATGAAGTTCTAGGGCACAGCACTCAGGAAATCAACCCCCAAAATAGCTCAAACCCCCAAATAAATCTGTCTTTCTCAGTGTAAAAGTTTTAAACAGGGAAAACTCATGAGGATTTTCACCCTCTTTATCAATGAACGAGAGATATGCACAATGGTTGTTGTCTCTGGGTAACAATTATTCCCCTAGGCCTGATAGTAAACAAAACTGTTTTTAAGTACTAACAGTAAGATTTTAGTAGTTGCGAGTGATAACAGACAGATCAAAGTGAGTTACTAAATTAGAATGAAAAGAAAACACATAGCCAATTCTAATTCACTAAGAAACTTATCACAAGCAGATAAATGACTTCTCTTATTTCAGGCATAATCTTCAAGTCAGAGACAAGCTCTTTTACTCTGACTTGGGTCTCCAGTCCTCTTTGCATGCCAGGCCATTCCCCAGGCCAGCCAAAGACAAATGGCTGATAGCTTCCTATTGCTTAAATAGACTCTCCCGCAGGGCGGGAATCTTTTGTTTTACATCCCCTCCCCATCCCTGGAAAAATATCAAGTTAAAAAATGGATCCCAGTATCACATGGTATGGTCACATATTTTCCTAGGACCAGCCACCTTCAGAACTTAAAGTACAAACAAGGCTATTTACTAGTAGTTAACTTGATCACCAGGTCATTAAGGTTTGTGGAGGGAAAGGTGGAAGGCACCAGTAATGGCTCTCATTAGCACTTTTTAAACTATAGTTTCATACTTCATATTTTTAGCTTCACATACAAGAAAGAAACATGCAACATAATAATATATACATATCCAGCAGATTTAACCTAGGAATTTTAATGTTACATGACATATTTTGTCCAGTGCATCTTTAAGTTAGGGAGAACAGCAAATTAGAGACAATGGATTTCAGTAAGGCAGATTTTGGTAAACTCAGAGAGCTGGTAGGTAAGTCCCATGGGAGGCAAGACTGAGGGGAAAAACAACTGAAGAGAGTTGGCAGTTTTTCAAAGGGACATTATTAAGGGCCCAAAAGCAAGCTATTCCACTGCATAGGAAAGATAAAAAATATGGCAAAAGACTGCCTTGGGTTAACCGGGAGATCTTGCATGATCTAAAAATAAAAAAGGAGTCATATAAAAAATGGAAACTAGGACAAGTTACAAAGGATGAATATAGGCAAACAATACAGGAATGCAGGGGCAAGATTAGAATGGCCAAGGCACAAAATGAGTTCAAACTAGCTACAGGCATAAAGGGAAACAAGAAGACATTCTATAAATATATTAGAAGCAAGAGGAAGACCAAGGACAGGGTAGGCCCATTGCTCAGTGAGAAGGGAGAAAGTAACAGGAAACTTGTAAATGGCAGAGATGCTTAATGATTTCTTTGTTTTGGTCTTCACTGAGAAGTCTGATGAAGGAATGCCTAACATAGTGGATGCTAGTGGAAAGGGGGTAGATTTAGAAGATAAAATTAAAAAAGAACAAGTTAAAAATCACTTAGAAATGTTAGATATCTGCAAGTCACCAGGGCCTGATGAAATGCATCCTAGAATACTCAAGGAGCTGATAGAAGAGGTATCTGAGCCTTTAGCTATCATCTTTGGAAAATCATGGAAGACGGGAGAGATTCCAGAAGACTGGAAAAGGGCAAATATAGTGCCCATCTATAAAAATGGAAATAAAAACAACCCAAGAAACTATAGACCAGTCAGGTTAACTTCTGTGCCAGGAAAGATAATGGAGCAAGTAATTAAGAAAATCATCTGCAAACACCTGGAAGATAATAAGGTGATAGGGAACAGCGAGCATGGATTTGTAAAGAACAAATCATGTCAAACCAATCTGATAGCTTTCTTTGATAGGATGAGTCTTGTGGATAAGGGAGAAGCGGTGGACATGGTATACCTAGACATTAGCACAGCATTTGATATGGTCTTGCATGATATTCTTATCAATAAACTAGGCAAATACAACTTAGATTGGTTATCCAGCCAGTTATGCACTCTTTCTCAAAGAGTAGTTATTAATGGTTCACAATCCTGCTAGAAGGGCATAACAAGTGGGGTTCCACAGGGGTCTATTTTATGACCAGTTCTGTTCAATATCTTCATCAACAATTTAGATATTGCCATAGAGAGTACGCTTATTAAATTACAATCAGTTTCACATATACAGAATGGGAAGCAACTGTCTAGGAAGAAGTACGACAGAAAGGGATCTAGGAGTTATAGTGGACCACAAGCTAAATATGAGTCAACAGTGTGACGCTGTTGCAAAAAAAGCAAACACAATTCTAGGATGCATTAACAGGTGTGTTGTGAGCAAGACATGAAAAGTCATTCTTCTGCTCTACTCTGCACTGATTAGGCCTCAGTTGGAGTATTGTGTCCAGTTCTGGGCACCACATTTCAAGAAAGATGTGGAGAAATTGGAGAAGGTCCAGAGAAGAGCAACAAGAATGTTTAAAGGTCTAGAGAACATGACTTATGAAAAAAGACTGAAAGAATTGCGATTGTTTAGTTTGGAAAAGAGAAGATTGAGAGGGGACATGGTAGCCGTTTTCAGGTATCTTAAAAGGGTGTCACAAGGAGGAGGGAGAAATATTGTTCTTCCTGGCCTCTGAGGATAGAACAAGAAGCAATTGGCTTAAACTGCAGCAAGGGAGGTTTAGGTTGGACATTAGGAAAAAGTTCCTAACTGTTAGGGTGATTAAACACTGGAATAAATTGCCTAGGGAGGTTGTGGAATTTCCATCTCTGGAGATATTTAAGAGTAGGTTAGATAAATGTCTATCAGGGATGGTGTAGACAGTACTGAGTCCTGCCATGAGGTCATGGGACTGGACTCGATGACCTCTCGAGGTCCCTGCCGGTCCTAGTATTCTATGATTCTATATTTATACTCAAAAGTCAATTTTCATAAAGCATGGGCGCAGTTGGGGAACCGACCACCGACAGGACTGCAGTTCTCTCACTTTACCACAGGCAAGGCAATACCATTGTCATAGTAATGGTCAGTGAATATTGTTTTCACCTCAATTCTGATGGATGGAATAGAGCAAGTCAAAATGTCCAGTTGAAATCTTTACAGAACAGTGCCAGGGTGAGAATGCATCCCTACCACATATCTGAAGTTGTGTAGAAACACAGCAAAAGTTGTGAACCAACACACACACTTGCACCAGATCTGATCTAAAGATTATGCAACAGATTGAAGTAGGCATTGGGCCATTAAATTCTCAGTGCAACTCAGTCAGAAGATGAAGGATAAAGAGAGAATCCACTGTCAGCTGCCCAGCAGTGAAACCTGATTGCTGTGGATAATGTTGCCTATTCATGACAGGCATGTAACCAAGACCTTTCCTGGAGACTTACAGCAATGAGATAATCCTGAGTTCAATGCAAGATTCTTTACCTTGCACAGGGACACTATGATGAAATTTTTCCATTGTGGGTAGGCTGCCTGATGTCCACACTTTTAAGAATAGTTGATGAAGGTCAATACTCACTTGTTCCCACTTTGGTGGAATACCAGTAGGTTCAGAAGAGGGGAAGAGGGAATTACAAAAACTTTTGTGCAAAAGGGGCAGTGTAGACAGCTCAGATTTGTTTTGTGCAAAAAAGCCCCGATCGCAAAAATGGCGATCGGGGCTTTTTTGCGCAAAAGTGCATCTAGATTGGCCATGGACGCTTTTCCGCAAAAAGTGCTTTTGTGGAAAAGCGTCCATGCCAATCTAGACGCTCTTTTCCGAAAATGCTTTTAACGGAAAACTTTTCCGTTAAAAGTATTTCCGGAAAAACATGCCAGTCTAGACGTAGCCCAGATGTGGCCTCACCAGAGCTAAAGAAAGGGGAATAATCACTTCTTTAGATCTGCTGGCAGTGCTCCTCCTAATGCACCCTAATATGCCATTAGCTTTCTTGGCTACAAGGGCACACTGTTGGCTCATATCCTGCTTCTCATCCACTGTAATCTCCTTTCTGCCAAACTGCTGCTTAGCCAGTCAGCTCCCAGCCTTTAACAATGCATGGGAGCAGGATTCTGCACTTGTCCTTGTTGAACCTTGTCAGATTTCTTTTGGCCCAATCCTCCAATTTGTCTAGGTCGCTCTGGACCCTATCCCTATCTTCCAACTTATCTACCTCTCCCTGTAGTTTAGTGTCATCTGTGAACTTGCTGAGGGTGCAATCCATCCCCTCATCCAAGTCATTAATAAGGACATTGAACAAAACCAATCCTAGAACTGATCCTTGCGGCACTCCAGTTGAAACATACTGCCAATCAGACATCAAATGTTGATCACTCCTTGTTGAACCCAACCATCATATTTTGTTTATCAAGTATTAGAAGCTCCTCATTGGTCCAGAAACGGAATTTAAAATAACAATCTTTTTAATCCACACAATTGTCAATGATATGCTAGGATGGGAGAGGGAACTAGGTTGTGTGTTCTCAAATGTAGGTTGTGCAGGCTTTGTGGTTGAGTATCTTATTTTACCTGGATTGTAGGAGAACTAATAGTGGTACAGATCTTCCTGTAGAAGGAAGCAGTCAGATGTGGAACTCTCAGTGTGAATAATTAATGTCTTATTGCTTATTAGAGATAGTCCATATATTCATAGGAAAGATTTGGAACCCCGTAAATTGCTCAGTCAGGCACCAGCTCTTCCGGCTGCTCATAATACAGATTCTCCTACCAGATGAGTCCACAATTCCCTAGCCAGTGAAATGGTAAGAGGGTGAACAGCTCTGGAGCAGAGTAGGAATGCATTCTCCCTCTATACCAGATGGGAAGCTGTGCTCCCACACACTCCCAATTATTTTAACATCTGCTCAACCACTCAAGAGCTGCAAGATCCCTTATGCCTTATCTTTGTGCAAGAGCCCTTATGCCTCAAAAAAGGAGGTATACAGGATCTTGTGCAAAAGGGGTTTTTTTGCACAAAATGGGCCCATTTACACTGCGGCTGTGTCTACATTGGCGCGATCTTGCGCAAAGGTGGCTGCTTTTGCACCAAAATTTGCTGCCTGTCTACACTGTCCACAAGTTCTTGAGCAAGAATTCTGACTTTCTAACGTATGAAATCAGTGCTTCTTGCGCAAGAACTATGATGCTCCCGCTCAGGAATAAGCCCGTTTGCGCAACTGTTCTTGTGCAAGAGGCCAGTGTAAACAGGCAATATGAATTTCTTGTGCAAGAAAGCCCTATGGTTAAAATGGCCATCAGAGCTTTCTTGCGCAAGAGAGTCTACACTGGCATGGATGCTCTTGCGCAAAAGCACATCTCTTGCACAAAGGCACATGCCAGTGTAGACACTCTCTTCTGGAAGAGTTTTTGCACAAGAACTCTTCCGCAAAAGAGTTCTTGCGCAAAATCATGCCAGTGTAGACGTAGCCTGCTTGTTTTTGTGCAGAAACCTCTTCTGCAAAAAGCATCGTCAGAGAATATGCAAATGATAGTGCGACAAATGCTAATGAGTGCTTCATTTGCATTGTCTCTGCCGACAAAAGGCTGCAGTGTAGATGTAGCCCTTTAGAATGCTGGTCTGATGTGAAGGCAAAGGTGTGCATGAGGTTACTGAGTGGGATGTGGGTTATTATTGTTTTGGCATGATGGCTATTTAACTGAACATCTCCAGCTTGCTGGTCTGATGTACATGGCAGGTAGAAGACATGATTACTTTCAGGGATGGGGAACCTATGGCCCAGGAGACAGATGCAGCCCCCAGCTTGCCTGGATCTGGCCCACTGAGGCTCAGGGCTCTCTCCCCAGTACTGGAGAGCCAGAGCTGGTGCTCCAGCCCTGTAGGACTCCCACCTTGCTGATACATTCCCTCTCTGCTTCTGCACCCTGACTCCCGCCCAGCTCCTCATTGTTGGCTCTATCCAAGAGCCTATAGAAGCCCACAAAATCTATTAGCCCAGGTCCCCATAGGTTCTGTTGTGCAAGGGAAATGTGAGGAGTGTCTTTCTGCTTCTCAGACAGAGGCTACATCAATGAGAGGGTTTGGTTTTGGGGGGGATTTGCTTCACACTTTTGTAAGGTCCCCAACTGAATTTCCTGTGGGACAGCAGCCCCAACCCAAAAAAGGTTCCCCATCCCTGGTTCAAAAGCTACAGCTTGATGGACTAATATCAAGGCTAGGACCTCTTTGATATCACTAGGTCCATATCTCATGTTTGCTTGATGTCAATCAAAGCTCATTCCTTTGTGTGATAATTGACCCAGTCCCTCTAGCACACCAAGGCAGAGGACTCTCTAAGATTACTAATTCAGCTTCTGTAGCTTTCTGAAAGTTCTTTGTTCTTGACATCAGCCATGAGAATCACAGCCTCCATTCTGCTGTGAGGGAGGAGGGCAGAGTTTTTGATGAGGATTATTGGTTTAGCAATTACAGATTTGCTGGAATGAGGGCAGCTGAAAAGCTCTGTGAGGTATAGCTCAGTATATTTAGCTCACTTGTTTTGATGTTAGTGGACAGGACTTTGTGAGGTTGCTGATTTATTTCCTGTAGTCTATTGGTCTGCAGTCAAGATTGACTGCTTCTACTGGCCAGTGAGCTTCTATCATGTTAGTTTAAGGTCAAGGCACAGATAGATCTCTGTGAAGTCACCTAATTCTGTGAGATCACCAACTGTAGAGAACAGTGAACTGCAACTACTGGAAGTTGTAGGGGGCAGGCTGCCAACCAAAAGCCTAAGGTATGTCCTGCCTAGAACCCAAATCCCCTGCCCCAACTCTAGCCCTGAATCCCCTCCTGCATCCTAACATCCTCCCACAGTGTCCACCTTCTCCAGAACTCCAAACCCGCCCTTAGTCACCTTCTGCACTCCAAACCCCTCAACCTCAGCCTGAGCCCTTCTCCTCCCTGTCCAGACCCTGACACACAAACCCCATTTCTGGCCCCACGCGAGCCCACTCCACGGGCAGAGCCCTCACCCTCTCCAACACTTCAGCCCCCTTTGTGCCCCACCTCCTTATCCCTGGCCCAAGCTCAACTCCTTGCCCCAGCCAGGTGAAAAATAGCGAGGGTGAGCGGTGCTATGAAGAAGCGGGGGCAGGGCACGGATGTTCGGTTTTTTTCTGCAACGGACAATTGAACCTTGGCTGTAGGCGGGGGGAAGGCCGCAGTTAACAGCCCTCGGGACACTGGCGCTGCCGGCCCGGTCTCTTAGGCGACAAGCGGTAGGTCACGGGAGCGATGTGACGCGCCTGCGGGAGGAGAGCGCTGGCACAGCGCCACAGCCAAAGGCTCACACTACACTCCTTCCTGGCTGAAAACCGGATCCGGAAATGACGTCCGGACGGTGTCTGTAACTAGCCGTCTGGGTCATAGAGGTGAAGCGTTGGTTAGGCTGGAAAATCGCCCAGATCATAGAGCTGCTGAAAGCTTGGCATTTCCGGTTTGGGCTTACGTCATATCCGAGCGATTTTGAGATGCCGGTAAGAATTGTAGGGGGAGTCGGAAGGGAGATGGGGGGCGAGGGGTCAATCCTTTCTTCGGGGCTTAGTCACCCCCTCCCGAGCCCGGGGATTCGCGCAGGGCGGTGCTGGCCTCTCCCCGGTCTGGGGGTAGGAATTCTCCCCCACGCCACTGAAGTTGAGGGGCGATCAGAAGGGAACGCACCCGCGCCGAGGGGAGCCTGCCCCATGGGGCGGGAGCGCTTGTGTGCCGCCCGCCCCCCATTGCCGCCCACGTAGCTGGGCCTTTGGGCCCTGGGGCCTCTCTCCGTTCTGTCCGGCCCGGTCCCTGGCCTCGGGCTGCTCCTCTCCGTCCTCTCTCTGATGCTGGGACGGGTCAGACTGAACCTCACACGGCTCAGGAAGGGCTGCAGTAGGGACCCGGGCTTCTTCGCTCGTGAAGCTGGGTTGGTTCTTATATCTGCTGATGCTGTAGCGTATCTCACTGGGTGTGATGGTCCCTCACCAATGAATGGCCCAACCAGGTCTTCAATTTGAAAGGTAAATAGAGTCTTAGAACATGAACAAAATACTAGGACTCCCCTTGATTGCTGTCTTTAATTATTACTGTTATTTAACTCATTAAGTGGGCTTGTGACTGCACAGTTAGTACAAGGCATGGTCTCTGCCTAGACTAGAGCATCTATATATTTGGACAGGCAGCCAATGGGGAGTCCCACAGGAGGACTCTCATAATTTTTGTACTGATCCAACTGGGAAACAGAAGTGGTGAGGTTTTTTTTCCAGACTATTACATTTTGTAGGACTTAAAAGAAGCTGTGGTATTGATGGAACAGGCAAACCAGATATAATCTTGCAGATATAATCTTTTTTGTCACTAATATCTGAGCACCTTCCAGAAATGAGGACAAAAATATATATTCTGTAGAAAAAACATATTGGTTAGTTTAAAGGTGCTGTGTGTGTGTGTGTGAGAACTGAGGTGAAACTAAGTCAAAAGATATCTGCAAACATCAGGGATTTTTTGACATTCAGAAAGCAGATTACTTGAGGAACAAGTGGGCAGAGCTTTCTTGATTATGGGTCTTTGGCTATGAACTTTCATTCACTAACAATCTGAATAAGTCCAGATGTTTGCAATAACGCCTGAAGAATGGCCTGGCAATGCTTCTCTGTATATAAGCAACTAAAAGTACTGTCTTTTAAATTCTGTGTAGTCTTACATTAGATAATAGAATGGAGGCACGGAAACTAGTTTTCTTTTATCAAATTTAATTCCACTTTTAGTTGGTTTTGTTAACATTAGGATACCATTGTGATACTACCATAAACTCCAAGGTGAGCAAGAAACAACTGCGAAAAAAGGAGAGACCTCCATATTGAGAGTATTTTGTATTCCTTAACAATACCCATACATTTTTTTGCTTTGATTTCAGAGTGATAGGTCTCTGTTGCTTACACTTCCATTCTCTTATTTATTGTAGGTTAAATTGAATATCCTCCTAGCACAGCTACTTACAGGAAGACTGCTCTACTTTAAGGCTAGGAGACTATGAGAATAATTAGAGGGGGCTGTTCACTCTGAATGCTAAATTTGTTCCTTGCCCAGGACAGCTGCAGGAATCAGAAACTTGATTCAAATGTTATCGGATGAGTTAGAATCCAAACCAGAGGTAAGCAGCTTGCAACTGGGTTCAGTTCTGGACTTGGTTTTTGTTTCATGTTCCAACATTTAAGTTCAGCAGAAGATGCAGTTTACCATTTAGATGGTAATGTTGAGAAATTACTTAAACATAGCAGATGATAACGCCCTCTGTATTTAAGACTGTAGAATATTTTCTGTTGTAGTCAAACATGTTCAGTGGTTTATAATACTGTGACTTTTTTTTAGTTTGAACAAAGTATCATCAGCCATTTTTTAAATAAAATAACAGTTGATGAGAATAAATGTTCACCTTTTCTCTTATTTTTCTTTTTTTTAATTGTTGTACCAACTTCTCTCTCTAATCAGATTAACACTATTAGATTCTGGGAGTTTGGGTTATTCTAGAAGTTCCCAAATCTTTGTCCCCAGACTACTGGCTACCCACATTGTGCTTGTTTCTCCCTGTTAGTTTCATCTACCAAATTGCATTAAAAGAAACTAAAAAGGAATTACATATCTTCTTAATGTGACTTTTCTGTGTGATCAGTCACTGTAATTGTCACAATCAGAGGGGTTGTTGTGTTAGTCTGTAACTTCAAAGACAATGAGTAGTCCTGTGGCACCTTAGAGACTCACAAAACGTATAAGTATCATGAGCTTTTGTGGGTAAAGCCCACTTCATCTGATGAGCACAACACTTACTGTTGTTGCATTTTTAAAGAAAAATAAAGATTATCAATGTAATGAAATAGTTGAAGATGGGCTAATATTTTCAATTCTGGACTCAATCCAGCTCCAATTGAAGTGGGAAGACTTCCATTGACTTCACAGAACCCAATCCCACTTTCCCTCTGTATTACAAGGTAGAGGAAGCCTAACTCAATGTCTTTTGTTATCTCTTTGGAACATTGTGCTATAGACAGATTTGCTCATTGCTGAATGCTATTTTCAAGATCCTCTCTTTTTCAGCTGCTGGTTCAGTTTGTTCAGAATACATCTATTCCACTTGGGCGAGGGCTGGTGGAATCAGAACCTAAAAGCATCACCTGTCTCTCCCTGCTTCCTGTTACTGAGACCTCAGAATGCAACAGGCTGATGTTGCCAGGTAAAATCTATGGTAAAGGTTTGTGTGGGAGTGCTGTTCATATAACTGGCTTTAATGTGCCACTGCAGGATGTTGTCCCTGCTTGATAAGAAGGGATCCTGGAGGTGGAGGGTTAGTTTCAGAAGAGTTAATAGGAAATTCCTATTAATGGGGGAGCTTTGCTACTTAGAGGTCTATGATCTCATTCTCTTCACTAGATGATTCTCCAAATCATGCTAACTCCTCCAAAGATGTTCCTTCATCTGCTGTCTTGAGAAGCCTCCAGGTAAATGTAGGCCCTGACGGTGAGGAGACGAGAGCACAGACTGTACAGAAACCATCTGAGCTCCTGTCAAGTCCAGAGCCTTCCAGCTTATTGCAAGACCTCCAGCCCAATGACAGCACTTCCTTTATTCTCCTCAATCTAACAAGAGCAGGTAATTTCCCTTGTAATCTGCTGGATCTTTTTCAGATTGTAGAATACAGGATATACAAATGCATCTTTGTCCCAGCTGCTTATGATGGGGAAATATGACATTTTCTTGATGTCGATGGATGTTATTCAGGAGCACATAACTCTCAGCAGCTTCTCATAATGCAGAGTTTATTGGAGGCATAGTGCAGCTATTCTACATATACCATGAATATAAGCCTCTGAGAAGCAAGAGAGTCCCCTCTCATTGACTTTGTCTCATGGAGTTGCCATCTCTTCCAGGCCTGGGTTGTCCTGCAGAACACCTGGTGTTTGTTCAGGATGAAGCAGAGGATTCTGGGAATGACTTTCTGTCCCATGACAGCACAGATAGCAGTACCCCATGGTTCCTACGAGTGCAGGAATTGGCCCATGACAGTTTGATTGCTGCCACTCGAGCACAGCTTGCAAAGAATGCCAAAGCAAGCAATAATGGTAGGAGATGTTCTCTTGTTATCTTAAAGGTTTAAGCTTCTGTGAAAAATAACTATTTAGCTTCAGTTGTTTGTTCTATGTGATTGCAAGATAGTTTATAATCTAGACAAAATCATGATAGCGGCATTGTTAGCATCTCTCTAGTTCAGGCTGTATTGAGTTTTTCTGTTAGAGCAAGGTTTCAGTATCTGAGCTAAAAACATACATATTTAATTTTCTAGGAAACTGTGTTCAATAGTTTGAGCTCAAAGAAGTTCTTCAACTGTAATGCCCAGGGCTTGACTAATGGCGGCGAAATCTACTCACCAGCCCCGCACTGCGCATGCGCAAGACCCGCATTGCGCATGCACACGCCGCCGGTGAACAAGGCAACTGGCTGAAATCTACTCGCCACGGGCGAGTAGAAACAGCGATTTGTCGAGCCCTGTTAATACCTACCCCCAAAGATATCTCCCCAAAATCTTCTGTAGTGAAGACTGATGCAAGACAATCACTTAATTTATTTGCAGTGTTCTTATTTTCCTTTATTTCCTAATAATCCAGTAGACCCAATGCTTTTGTAGGCTTCCTGTGTCTGATTTGCTTAAAGAATCTTTTTATGTTGTTTCATTTTTATCTACAGCTGTTTGTTCTTCAAATTACCTTTTAATCACAGAGTCCTTTTTTCATATTGCCTGCTTTATTTTATATGCCTTTCTAGTGGTTTAAATAGGTTTGGTAATCAGTTTTCTGATGGATATCTGTTTGAACTAATAATTATATTGTGATCACTTAGTGACTTAACTACAATTATATTAAAATAATCAAATTAAGTCCTCTTCTGTGCTTTAGAACTAGCTGTACCAAGAAGTCATCATTTAAGGTGTTGAACAATTGCTTATCCTGACTGAATCCAGAGGTGACACTTGACTTTAATATTTGGATAATTGACATATCCTAATATTATTATTTTAGTTGATAATCTCTGACCTTTTAGTATTACATACTTACTATCCTTATTCTGATCTGAAGTTAGCTGATATAATATGGTACCTTGCAGGAAATAGTTTATAGGGTTGGGAAGACAGCTAGGGTGTATCTAGACTACATGGCTCGGTCGATGGAGCCGTGTAGATGAATTTACTAGACATAGCAAAACAAAGCAGCGATTTAAATAATCGCTGCTTCATTTGCATCAAAATGGCCACCACACTGTGCCAGTCATCTGATTGTCGGCACAGCGCGGTAGTCTAGACGGGGAATCAACTGACCCCAGCACCCTTTGTCGTCAGATCCTTTATGCCTCATGCAATGAGGCTTACAGAATCTGACGACAATCAGCTGATCGGCACAGTGCAGCGGCCATGTTGATGTAAATGAAGCGGCGATTATTTAAATCGCCACTTCATTTTGCTATGTCTAGTAAACGCATCTATATGGCTCCGTTTACGGAGCCATGTAGTCTAGACACACCCCTAGATATGTATGTGGCATCTCACTTGGGATGGGTAGCAGTATCTACTTTGTAGGATGAGGTAAATACACAGTACCCAGGAACACATCTAGTTTATAGGCCTAGATTGTACTGGGGTTATCCTGTCTCTTTTTTATACGGGTATCTATCTCCACTGTGGACATTGACAAGTTTTTTTTTTCTGTCCTATTCTAGGTGAGAGTGTTCATCTTTGCTCAGGAGATGGGCAGACAAAAGATTCAAGCCCCATCCCTCACCTGTCCCGTGTAGAGAAGAAGCTGAAGTGCACAGTTGAGGGCTGTGATCGGACATTTGTGTGGCCAGCTCACTTCAAATATCACTTAAAAACTCATAGGTGAGTGGAGCAAAGATCTGTTGTTGTAACTTTGCAAAACCTTGCAGAAGTCTCCTGTTTTCATCAAAACACAATTATTCCCATTGTAAAAATTCTCTCCAAATATGAAAGCAAAGGGGAAATGTAAAATTGAATAAAACCCAGATATAGCTGCTGAATGGTCTTACTAATCAGGTTTATGACAGGGGTAATTAATAGGTGGACAGTGGGTCAAATCCAGACTACCAGATGCTTTTGAACAGACTGCAACAATCTCTTAATTTCATTACAATTACTGTTATTGTTATTGTAGTATGAAAAAATGTTTTTCTGGGGTCTGGACCTTGAGTATACCTTGACAGAGAAATTTAGACGTTGACAAAAAATAATTGACTCCTGCTGGTTTATGGTCAGTAGGGATGTCAATGTGTAATCAACTACATGATTAACCAATAAGCCTGGCCTTATCAATAAATCCTGTCAACTACAGGCACTCCTTGCCCCTCTTGCTGCCTGTATCAGAGAGAGTGTGGGGTGGGAGAAGTGGGAACCGTTGCCTGTGAGCACTGAATCCCATGCAGCCACCTGCTCCACTTCCCCGCATTGGTGCCTCAGATACAGAGGCAGTAATGGGCAAGGTGGGAGCTGATACGCGTGGGGAGCTGCCTCCCTCCTTTGCTGCCTACCACAGAGGCAGCGGAGGGAGGGGGCAGGTAGGAACCAGTGCTTGGGGGAGCTAGTTTAAAATGTTTAAACTGGCTCCCCTCGCAGACCGGCTCTACCTGCCACTCCACACTGCTGCCTCTGATACATAGACAGCAGCATGGAGTAGCAGGGGGCTCCCCAGGAGTGGGGCTGGGAGTGCGCTGGCTGCCGGTCTTGGCCCTGGGCACAATTGAATATTCATGTAACTGCTAAAATTTTGTTCAGTTACAGATTATTCACTTTCACAGTACAGTATAGAACATCCCTAATGGTCAGCACCCCTCCTGCGCACACTCAGCACGGCTGGAATGGCATTCAGTGCAGAAATATGTTTCTTTTGAAAATTCTGTTTATCCTCCAGGAAATCCTCTGTGCATTAGGGAAAGCTGACATCTTCACAGAAAAGCTCCTCCTTCCTAGGAAACACTGTTATTTAAAACACAGTTTTTTAAAAAGTGCTTCTGAATAGGCTGGAACTGGCCCAAGTATTTCTGGAAAAACATTGACTTAGTTGTTTCTTTGTGTGGCCACATCCACCAAGTAGAGTGGATGTAAATACATGCAACGGACCAATATCAAAATCAGGAAAAGAGGATTGTTGGATTTTGAAACTCCTCACAATGGCAATGTCTCTCTATATTTACTCCGATATCTAGAAATAAAAAACTTAAGATTTCATATGAACTAAACAGAATTTGGAAGGAGTGATAACTGCTAAGCATATCTCTAAATCTAGTTTTCTCCTTGGAAACAGGAACAGGGTGAATTTATGTGTTAGATTAATCTATATGCTACATAAACTGAAAAAAGTAAGCCTGATTTGGGCTCTTCCTGCTGCTTGTTTGTTTAAAGTGGAGCTATCCTTAATTTAAAATCCTGTGTGATAGGCAAGATTAACTCATCTTCCCCATCTCATGTATATGCATTGCTCCTATCCCAATCTCAGCTACAGTAAGGGTGTTGCTATATTAGACACTTGTATATGAGGGAATGATATCACATCTATGCATTACCTTGCACAAGGGTCATCTATCCCAAACAAAGCTGAGATTGCAAAAAACCTGTGATATAAGCCAAAGAAGCTTGGATTTATTTATTTATTTTATTTTTTTTCCCAATAGATTTTACAACTTCTGAGTGTGTGATACAATCTTCTTAATGAATAATCTAGTTGAATACAGATTTATGCCACTTACCTGCTTAGGTCACTTAATTTCATAGACTTTAAGGTCAGAAGGGACCATTATGATCATCTAGTTTGACCCCCTGCACAGTGCAGGCCACAGAATCTCACCCACCCTTCCTAGAATAATCCTCTCACCTATATCTCAGATACTGAAGCCTTCAAATACTTTGAAGACCCCAAGATGCAGAGAATCCTCCAGCTGTGATCTGTACCCCATGCTATAGAGGAAGGCGAAAAACCTCCAGGGCCTCTGCCAATCTACCCTGGAGGAAAATTCCTTCCTGACCCCAAATATGGCAATCAGCTAAACCCTGAGCATGTGGGCAAGACTCACCAGCCAGACACCCAGAAAGTTCTCTCTAGTAACTCTTATCATCCCTCCATTGACCTATTTCCCACTGATAATGAATGGTCAATTAGTTACCTAGAACATGTTATCTCATCAAACCATCCTCTTCATAAACCCATCTAGTTTAATCTTGAAACCAGATAGATCTTTTGCCCCCACTACTTCACTTGGAAGACTGTTCCAGAACCTCACTCCTCTAATGGTTAGAAACCTTCGTCTAATCTCAAGTCTAAACTTCCTAATAGCCACCTTATGTCCATTTGTTCTTATATCCATACAATTTCCTTGCACCTCCATTTCATGCAAGTTGAAAAGCAAGTAAAAGGTAGTAACCTTATTTATAAACAGATGTTGAAACAGAGTTGAATGTGGGTGAGGCTTACTGGTTAAGGTTAACAAGTGAGGCTAGAGCAGCAACTCGCCTGCTTCAGGCAGGGGCTGCTCTGGCATCAGATCAACCTCTGTCCATGACAGGTCTGGGCATCCTGCAGATGGGGGCTGCTCTGATCGGGATACCAGAGCAGCATCTGCCAGTAGCAAGAGGTGGGAGACCCAGAGGCCAAGGCTGCTGTGGCTGGACTGGAGCAGCCTCTGCCTGTTGGGAAAAGGGGGCGTTGCAGCCCAGTGGCGGATAGGTGGGTTGCTCCAGCCAGGTGGGAGTGCTCCCTCCCCACTCCTGACCCCTTTTAATTAGTTAACAGTATGTTTAATTGGTTAGCCAGTTAAGTGGAATTTTACATCCCCAGTTAAATGTCCTTGAGAAAATACATTGTTTCATAACCCGGTGTTGCAGTTCTTTTGTTGCCTCTCAGGAATGATCGTTCCTTCACCTGCCCAGCGGAAGGCTGTGGGAAAAGCTTCTATGTCCTGCAGAGGCTGAAGGTGCACATGCGAACTCACAATGGCGAGAAACCATTTGTCTGCACTGAAGTGGGCTGTGGGAAGCAGTTCACAACGGCTGGGAATCTGAAGAACCACCTGCGGATTCACACTGGTGCGTTTAAATCCCAGATTTTCTTTGTCTCCAAAGGTGGAATCTGTTTAGAAAACACTTCCTAAGAAATGATCCAGGAAAAAGCAGTGCCCATCTGTAGTTCACTGGTGTCCTTAGCTTCCAATTTATAATCTTTTATTAATCTGATTTAATAAGTTTACCCTTGCACTTCCCTACATAATCTTAGAGATTACATCCTTCAATGCTGTATAGTTTTGTCATGTTCCCCTTTTAGTTTTCACTTAGCCAATCTATGTAAATTTCTGTTTTTTTCCTTTTAAATCAGTCCCAAGGCCTTTCTAATTTTCAGTAAACGAAGTGGTTCCTTGGTGGGATAACTGAAAATTAGACATTTTGTGGGTTTTAAGAGAAGTTCTTTTAAATTCTTATGAGTGAAGAGGCCATACTTGTTTAAAGTGTATCAGAGGAAGCAGTGCAGGGTGCCAGGCAGGAGCCAGTCCACAAGGGGAGCCTGTTTAAAAACTAGCTCCCCTCGCAGTCCTTCTGCTCCGCTGCCTCTGATATAGAGGCAGCAACATGGGGTGGCAGCAGCCCATCTGCAGGGGGTCCAAGCTTTCTGCAGACCTCACCCCCTCCCTTTGTTATTTTTCTTCACAGGAAGGGCTAAGGTTTGTTGGCCCTACTATTGTACATATTGTACAATATGCCGGGACACACATTCATCCCCTCCCCATTGTCAGGGGCTGGAGTGTGCATGCTTTTTTCCTTCCTGTGCGGAGGGGGGCAAGTGCACTCCACTCATTGCTTCTCTCCTCCCATGGGGGGGACAGGGCCGCCCTGGAAGGGGTGGGGCTGGAACCTTTTCCCCCCAGAAACTTCTCAAGTCTTTTCAAATGTTCTCTGTGACAGATGGCATGATGGACACCTCTCCTTTTATAATAGTGTAGATTAAAGTGCAAATATTTATATTTCTGATTACAAAGTGAGCTCTCTACACTTTGCATTCTGTGTTGTAGTTGAAATGAATATATTTAAAAATGTCGAAAAATGTGCAAAATATTTAAAAAATGTCAATTGGTATTCTGTTTTTTTTAACAGCAAAATTTAAATTGCAATTAATCGCTATTAATTTTTTGGTTAATCGCAGGCAACTCACGGGGTTAAATATTACTAAATGAAGCAGGTTATATGACAGCTGGGCAAGAGCCTGTCAGCGGGCTGGATCCGACTCGCCTAGCTCTTTCATCCAGCTAACACAGCAGTTCGCAGCCCCCCCAACATGTTGCCTGGAGCCAAGGATGCGCAAGCCCCTTCAATTCCTTCTATTTAAAATGCTTGCATCTTCCCCACAGCGACCAGACAATATATTAGCAGCTTCGGGGAAAGCGTGAGCTCTTTAAATAGAAGCAGTTGAAAAGGCTCCCAACCCCACCGTTAGCGTGTTGCCTGTGTGCCGCTGGGAGGTGCAAGTCCTTTCATTTGTTTCTGCCTGCCAGTAGGCTGCCAGGCAATGCGGTGGCAGCCGTCTAGGAGGCACAAGCCCTTTAGATAGAAGCATTTGAAAGGGCTCACGCCTCTGCAGCTCCCAGGCAACACATTGGGAAGCTGGTTGCTGCGAGCCCTTTCAACTACTTCTGTTTAAAAGGCTTGCGCCTTCCTGACAGCTGCTAGGGCGTGAGTCCTTTAAATAGAAGCAATTGGAAGGGCTCGCAGCTCCTTCCCGCTGTGTTGCCTGGGAGCTGCAGGGGAGGCACAAGCCCTTTCACATATTTCTGTTTAAAGGCTCTTCCCCTTCCGCCCAAAGCCCTTGCCTCTTCCAGGGCAGCCTACAACCACTTCGAAAATTTTTGAAGTGGGCCCCCCCCTCAAAAATAATTAGCAACCCTGATATGATACACATGGATTTTTCTATATTATCTGATAAAAATGTCATCTTATTCTTGTGTGGAGTATTTAAAATTGCCTGGACAGTGTTTGAAACATGAAATTTGGCTGTAGGGCTACAATTAAGGGGTAACAATAAGCAGCAGTGTACTGAGTTGTGAGGAGCTCTCTAATGGATGCTGCAGGTATTTATTTGCCCTAATTTTATTTAACCTCCTTGTTAGTGACCTTGAGGAAGGTTAAGAGCAGGTGAATAGAATTTATAAATGATTATAAATTGGAAGATGGAAATAACAATGAGGTTGGAGAAATTCAAGGGATCTATAAAGAATAGACCTATGAGAAGGAAATAGCAATGAGATTAAGCCTAGGAGCATGAAAACTAATGCATGTTGGGAATAAGAAGTGCAAACACATATATTCCATAAAAGGCAGAAAACTAGAAAGCAGTAATGGCTAGAAGAGATGTAAGGGATGACAGCAATCAGCAAATTCAGATATGTATTTGAAATATGCTGTGGCAACAAATGAAATCCATGTGATTTTTAAGCTGCATACAGATGAGCATGATGTCTCAGAGCAGCCAAGGTTATCCATTTCTATCTAGTTCTTATGGAACTGAAATACAGACCATAATGCCTACAAACTTGTGTTTCATCCAATACAGGGGAAAAGCCCTTTCTGTGTGAGGCACAAGGATGTGGTCGTTCCTTTGCTGAATACTCCAGCCTTCGGAAACATCTGGTTGTCCACTCAGGTAGGGTAGATGAGGCCTTATATGCTAAACATCAGTGTTGCATTATTTTGGTCTAGTTTTCAGTAGAAATTCTCCTCTTTTCTGTAGAACTGTTCTTTGTGTTACTGGCCAGTCATAGGGCTTTACTGCATTTGCTCTACCTCTTCCCCCCAAGCTCTTCCTGTCCCTGCTTCTCTCCCTCCCTCCATTAGTTTAAATACCACAAATCAGCTATTTGCAGCACTCCAGAAACTCTGGGAAGGTGGGAGAAGGAGCTGCTGAGTCCAGGGCACCTGTCTTTTCCCCCTGATGCCAGACCATGGATGTTGCCTATAGGCTGATTACTTCTTGCCCTTTAAGTGAACATAGAGAACAGTTGACCACAGTATTCTTTATAACCGTCCAGAACATATTTGAAGGCTATTGTCAAGTCTTCTGTTCTCTAATCTAAATCTATCGTTTTTTATTAACATCTCATAGGTTGCATTTTTGAAACTTTTATTGTCTTTGTTTTCTTCTGGACGCTCCCATTTGTTTACATCTTTCTTAGAGAGTGATGTCTAAAACTAGACTTAGTACTCCAGCTGAGGCCTTGCCAGTGGTATAGTAACCTTCCATGTCTCTCATATAACACTCTTGTAAATATATACCCCTGAATATTAGCCTATTTTGCAGCTGCATCATATAGTTGGCTTTTATTCAATTTGTAATCCACAATAATCCCCGGATACTTTTCATCATTGTCACCACCTAGCCAATTATTTCCCCTTTTGTAGTTGTGCATTTGATATTTTTCCCTTCCAGGATTTTGTCTTTATTGAGTGCTGTTTTTTTATTTTAGACATAAATACATAAAAATGGCCTACTGGGTCAGCTCAACGATTCATCTAACTCTGTATCCCATCTTTTGACAGTGACCAGTGTTCTCTGGCAAACTGAAGATTTAGACAATGTTTTGAATTTTAATCCTGTCCTCCAAAGTATTTGTAAGCTCTTCCAGTTTGATGTCATCTGAAGATGTTATGATCATACTCTGCACTCCATTGTCTAAGTCATTAATGAAAATATTGAATTGAATACTGAAAAGGGAGGTTTTGCTTTTGCGCAAAATCTTGCCCGCTGTCTAAACTGGCCATGAGAATTTGCGCAAGAACACTGACTATCTAATTTAAGATTGTCAGTGTTCTTGCGCAAGAACTCTGATGCACCTGCTAGGGAAAAAGCCCTCTTGCACAAGTCTTCTTGCGCAAGAGGGCCAGTGTAGACAGGAACAGGAATTTTTTGCGTAAGAAAGTTCCGATGGCGAAATTGGCTGCCAGAGCTTTCTTGCACAAAACCGCGTCTATACTGGGCACAGATGCTTTTACGCAAAAGCAAATCTTTTGCGCAAAGGCACTTGCCAATATAGATGCTCTTTTGCGGAAATACTCTTAACGGAAAATTTTTTCCGTTAAAAGTATTTCCGCAAAATCATGCCAGTCTAGACGCAGCCCCCGTGTATAAAATTGACTAGTTTTGCATTCTCTCTATGTGCTGGGCCAGTAACATTGTCAAAGAAGAAAATTAGATTGGTTTGGCATGATTTGTTCCTGATAAACCCACGTTGACTGCTACTTATAACCCTATTATTCTCTAGGTGTTTGAAAAATAATTAGTTAATATTTTGTTCCAGTGTCTTTCCAGGTATTGAAGTTAGGATGTGACTCTTCTTTTATTTGGGTCCCCTTTTTAAAGACAGGTTTTATGTTTGCCCTTCTCCAGTCCTCTGGAACCTCACCTGTCCTCCATCAGTTAATCACTAATCATTCTTAGATTTCTTCAGGTAGTTCCTTAAGGGTACTCTAGAGTAAATTTAATCTGACTTTTATGACTTGAATACATCTAATTTATATAAATATTCTTTAATCTATTCTTTCCTTATTCTTATACTTTGTTCTTTCCACCTTGTTGTTAATATTGTATTGAGCATCTATCTGGTCACGATTAGCCTTTTTTGATAAGACTAAAGCAAAATAGGCATTAAACACCTTAGCCTTCTTGGCATCATCTGTTGTTTGCTTGCTTTCCCCACTAAATAGTCACCCTATTTTTCCTTCATGTTTTTCTCTCTTCATCCTCACGTATTCACAAAACCTTTTTAATTGACTTTTATGTCTCTTACTAAGTGTAACACAGTCTGAGCTAGCATTTCTGACTTTGTTCCTTCATGCTTGAGATATACTGATACTCACTGTGACACTGAGGGTACGTCTAGACTACAGGCTTTGTCGACAGATACTGTCGACAAAACTTCTGCCAACAAAGAGCGTCTAGACTGCATCCAGTTCTGTCAACAAAGCAAGCTGCTTTGTCGACATGAGAGTGTAGATACAAAGGACAGTGTAGATGCAATAACACCTTCTGTCAACAGATCTCTGTCAACAAAAGGTGTTGTTACCCGTAGAATGAGGTCTCCCGCGGTTGACAAAACTGCCGAGTTCTGTCGACGTTATATCAACAGAACTCGGCAGTAGTGTAGACATAAGTCTACTTTTGTCGACAAAACCCTGTAGTCTAGACACACCCTGACAGCCCAGCAGGTCAGAGCCTCAGACCAATTCACTTCTGTGTAAATACCAAATAAATGTTAAATGTTCTAATATGCGTAGACCAATTTACTTAGGTGTTAATGGGTATTGTTTTAACCTATCTATATTCTATTGCATTATATTATGTGTATTCTTGTACTTAAATTAGATCAAAAGGTATGTTAGTATTAAAATGAGAATTTACTTGCTGTGTAAACTTTATGAAAACTAATGGATTGTTCCATATTATTACATTACAATTTACATAGTGTATATCCAGGTAATTACATTTAACCCATCAAATATAATTGGAGCCTTGGAATTGAAAATGAAGAAAGCTGCTAACTTTAAAGCATGGGTCGTTGTGTTCAGCATTAGAAAGATCCTATATTCATTTTTTGAGGAGTACAGGCTCTTTAGAAACAGGGCATTTCTGTCAAAAATGCCCCATCTAAACTGCCGGTGTGTGTCCCCCACCCCCGTCCCTTCCCCCCGAAAAAGCTCTGTTTTTGGGGAAAAAAGCGGCGGCCGCCATTATGCAAATAAAACATGGGAAATTCAAATCCTGGCTTCATTTGCACTTTTGATATGTCTAATTTACATCCCTTTATCGAAAAAGGGATGTAGTATAGACATACCCTGAGAGTGGTACACTCAGTTGAGAGCCATTCCAGACAGCATGATATTTGGATTCATTTTTCAGGTCACTAATAAGCTCCTGATGCATCCATGTTTCCATATTATTATTATTATTTATTATTTACCTCAGGCTAATCTGCTGCTGTGCCTTGAATATAGTCTGAGAAAATGCCACCACTCCTGAACTTGTTTTTCTCTTAGATTTTCTTCCTATGTGACTTAACCTACCACTTCTCTGAGTTTGTTAAATGTTCCTTTTTGCGGTTCATTTTCCTTATTCAGTTACTCTTACTCCTTTATTTCCATAGAATCATTACCCCTATCATTTTGTGATCACTTCCTCCAAATTGTCTTCAGATTTTCAACTAATTCCTTCCTGTTAGTCAGAATCCAATCTAAAATGATTGACCTCTTGTTATTCCTCCCTCTTTAGAAACAAAGTTGTTTCCAACATATTTCAATAACTTACTAGACATTTTGTGTGTTGCTGTATTGTTTTTCCAACCAATATCTGTTCAGGGTAACGTCCCCCGTTATTACCAGGGCTTATAATTAGGATACTTCTGTTATTTGTCCTAGAAATGCCTGTCATCTCTCTTTCCTTTTGTGGTGGTCTGTCGTAGATACCTGTCATATTGTCCCCATTTTTTTTATTTCTGCATTTTATCTTTATCAAGTGATTTCAGCCAGTCTGCCTCTCGCCACCTTCTGAACCTGAGAACAAGGGTATAGTGCAGTAGTGTATATTGCAAGTGTATAGTCTTGATGATATATAGTGCAATACTGCCTCCATTTTTTTTTCTCTGCCTGATCTACAACAATCTATGCCTCTCTACCAATTTTTCCGTCACAATACTTATCCCACACCAAGTCTCTGTGATGACAATTACACTATGACTACACAAACTAGATTATGGTTTTCTCCTGTATCTCCTTTCTGACTTATTCCATTTCTAAATTGAAAGATACAAAGATTTCACTGATTTATATACAATATTTATTGAGCCAGTTACTACATAGTTAAAATTGTAATTTTTTACTGTAAAACAGATTATAATCCTTTCCCCCCACTAATCATCATCACTCCATCTGAATGTTCTCTCATGTGGTGATCATCCAGAGAAAATTTGGAAGCGTGTGTTCATGTGTGTTGGTTTTTAATCTGATGTTAATTGGACAAAGTGTGAGAGAGGAGGTTGAAACAGCAGAGAGATTTTCACTTTTGTAAGAATTTATCCATTCTGTTTTGAACATCAGCCATGGTTAGCAAACTCAAAATGTGGTTGGTTTTGGTGTCCTCAGTGGAGCTGTGTGTGTCTCTCTTAATAGAGAGGGGTTGGGTTGTTTTTTAGTTTGAATAATTTCTTTTGGACTAAGCTTAACTTTACCCCTTTTCCTTGAACAACATCTCCTTGAACAGATGATCTTGCATCTGTGGGCCATGAACACCATTGTCCTTGTGAAATCTCTACATGCTGGCCTTTAAATAGTGAACCTAATAACTACTAACTAGAGGCTGGACATCTTGGCCGGCCTCGTTCTCGTGGTATGGGCCAGAAATGGCAACATCTCTCAGATTTCACAAGACTCTGCCCCAATCCACTACTCCACTTTTGGTCAGAGTATATTCTAGATACAAACTAGAGATCAAATATTTCCACATCTGATCTGAGCACATAGCCAGACACTAAATAACTTGCATATCCTCATAAAACAGGGCCGAGAACCTCTGATAAACCTTACCAATACTTGGTTCTTTCTGTACTTTGCAACATTGATCTCTGAAGTGTTTCCCTTCTGATAGAATAACTTCTTTCTAGAAAATAGGAATTGATTTTACCTGAGTTTCAGGGCCAGTGATGTTATCCTTTTGACTCCATGCTCCCATTTATTGATTGGATCTTTACTCCCAAATGCAGAACTACCAACTTAGTCTGTTTTTTCAGGAGTGAAACCCCATCAGTGCCATATCTGTGGGAAGACATTTTCTCAGAGTGGAAGTCGGAATGTGCATATGAGAAAGCACCACTCCAGAATTGGAGCAGCTGGAAGCAGAGAGCGAGAGCAACCTGGTAAGGAATGTTTAGGAGACAAAGGCATCTTCCCTGCGAAGAGGTTGTGAGAGGGTATGAGCAAGTGGGTATGTAGGGGAGGAGGAAGTGGTGAGTGTTCTTACAGTAAGTGGTAGGAGAGGCTAGGCCACTGGGGACAGTTAGTTTGTCCCTTCCTAAGGAGGATAGGCTAGGATGGAGAGGGGAATTCTTTACTCGGATGGGAGGAAGCCCTTGTTGGGAAAAGGTGGCAAAGTGGAAGGAGCAGATGACAGAGGTTGAGGCTAAAGCATAGGAGGGCATCTCTGTGTGACTGCTAAGGGGTATGAGGGTCCTTGCTTTGAAAAAAAATTTGAGACTAGTCTCAGTGAAGCTCATGCTCTTCATATATACCTCTCCTCTGTTTCAGGTGGCTGAACCTATTATTTCTTTTTAAGTAATTCACCTAACATAGCCAGCTCAGCCTCTTTGTATTGCAGGTGTTCTAAGGACTTAACATTTAAACTTCTTGGAGTCCCCACCTGTTGGTGTGCTGGAAGCACAGATCCATGAGTGGGAATTCATAGAAATGGGTATCTTTGGAAAATAGACATTTTCACCATGTCTGTGTGAGAGAGAGAAGTCCCTTCCTCAGAAGGTGGTGGGCAGCAAGGGCAGAGACTAGATAGTTTATAGCTAATTGTTTTTATAACAGAGTTGCTGATGGGCAGCAGTTTGCTGGAGGAAGCAGCTGTGCACAGTAAGAATCTGATCTCCATGAACTCTCAGCCTCGCCTTAGTGTGGAGTCTCTGCACCTGCCGGATACTGAGTCTATTATTGGAGTAGAGGAGGGTGAGACCAGCTGCTCTTTTTTCTGCCCCTAATATGTGACTTGAAGTAGGGTGATTCCTTGAGTCGCACTACAGTGCAGAGGGATGATTGAGTGTTGCTTTTACTGTTTTCATCGGGGAATGAATAGCTGGAGAACGAATTATAAAGTCGGAGATGGAAAAGATGAAATCTTTAGCCTATATCCTGGGTAGGCATTGCAATACCATTCCTGCAGCTCATTCTAAAATCTAAGATACTGTAAATGTTTCAAGTAACACGCCTTCCATCGTTTGTTTGGTGTCTCAAGTTCTTTCAGTGATTCTGGTATTTTCTAGATGTTCAGACTTTTTTCTGAGCTAAAATATTCCCCATCTGCATTAACTCTGGTAAAAGTGTGCACAGCATGTAGACAGTGGCTCTTACGTGAAGAGCTCAGAGTGCTTTGATTCACTTAAATTAATAATCCCCTATTGAATGTTTCTTTGCAAAGTGTATTCTAAATATATGATGCTACTGTATGTAAATGTGTTGTGGTTCACAGAGGTTCTTGCTGAAGCAACACCAGGCACCCTCCAATCAGCATCTGATGTGGTTTTGCCACAGTCTCATCACTTGGTCACCATGTCTGCAGGTAGACACTCCTATGGGGTGTCTGCATTACTACAGTAAATCTACAGGTCAGTTGAGTAGGCCTTTAATCCTTCTTTAAACTTTAAAAAAAAAAAAAAAAGTTGCCGCTAAATTTCAGAATAAAAATGAAAACTCTGCTGTTTCTAAGATATTTGTAGATGAAAAGAAATACACCTTCCTGGCCTTAGAACACAACTTGATTTTTGTGAGATGGTTTTTAAGTTATTTATTTTGTTGTTTTTACTATCCCAGCATAACCTTCCAAGATGTAGGTTCACATATTGTCAACATCAAATGTTTTAACATTTATGAAATGCATAGACACGATGTAATACATGCAAGTCAGCCCTTTTATTTTAGCAATACAATCTTCTCCCTTCCAGTCTGCCTTCCCCTTGTAAAGAGTAGTTTAAATTAAAAGGAGAATTTTTATGTGCAGATTTTATGTGCATCAACTGTTCTTCTTAGAACCAAATCAAATGTATTTGGTAGTACTCAGTTCTTAAAAGTCCAACCCTGTTTGTCTTTAGGACAAGACAAAACATACACAAAGGGGGAGAGAATAAAAATAGCACAAAAGATACACATCTAACATCATTTCTTAGAAGATCATATGCATAGTACAGAACCCAACTGGAAATTCGAAAGGGCCTTGGCAAAATTATACCAAGATCAGGAGTTGCATTTATCTTACTAACCAGATATTGTCAAAATACTGCAATGTTAAATCCATTCCGGTTAGTTAACCTGAACTATTACTATATAGAAGGCAAAAGGAGAAAGATATAAAAAAAGGGAACAAAATTACATGCCAAATGGAGATTGCTTAGGACATAGCCATGGGGATATTAATATTGTCTGGGTGGAATATCTTTCAGAGTCAGGAAAATGGGCCGGTGTTAAGTGTTCCCCAGAAATGCCTAAAAAGAGTAGCAATATTATCCAATCACAATAAGCTTTGGTATTTCACATAGAGACACTTCCATCCCATTTAATAACTTTTTTTGATGGGAAGTTGTTACAGCAACTCCAAAAACTGACCAAAAGAGAGAGACGGGGAAAAAAACATCAGCAGTTTCATTAAGTTCAAACAAGTGCATTTAGGCTTTCTTTCAGTTGCAATTTTACTTAATAGGTTTATTGGTTAAGTCGGATCCTCCTACCACTCTCCCTCCTTCTTTTCATTCAAGACACTAAAATTTTAATCCAGAGTTGGTTTCAACACACGTTTCCAGAAGACTGCCACCACAAAAATGAGTTTTCTGAGAATGCGGAGGCTGGTGCTAGTGACCTAGTCTGGGAGCAGGGATGCTTGCTGGGGTTGCATGTTGTGGCAAGCTTTTTAGAACAGGTTGTGTGTTTGTGGGTAGCAGCAGGACAGTTGTGGGTAATTTTGGAAGCGCGTTGTAAACAAGTTCTATGTGCCGTATACAGAGGATGTGATATTATTCTGTATAACATTTATCTGCAATCTGAACTGAGTATATGTTGACTTTACAGTTACAAAAGGAAGAAGAAACCAATTGTATAGTAAGAGAAGACACGGAATGTAAAGTTAAAGAACAGACTTCTGCATGCTGATCTCTTAAAGGAGAGATGCAGGACCTGAATCCAGAATACATGATGTGCAGGCAGCTTACTTTTTATGACTTCCTGCAACAAAAAGGAAACTGTAATCCAGAATGGGATATGAGATGTAGAACATGAGTTCCTGATGACTGAAGCAGATTCTTGAAGCTAAATTCAGGAGCTACTAATCATGTTGGACTGGCAAGTGGGACTTTCTAATCTTGCCAACCGGGAGGGATGCAGCACTTGCATCACTGCAACCTCAAACCACTTTCACCTGAAGCTTGTTCGCAGGCTCCAACATTTACAAGGCATTATTATTGCTAAAGCAACTAATAGGGGCTTTTCTTAGAGGAGAATATTTAGGGTGTAGTGGATCCTAAACCAGAGCATTGCAGTCCTATTGTTTTGAAGGTTAATTTCTAGGGTGACCCTAACTAGAATATGAGGTGCTTCCTCGAGGAGCAGGAGCTTCTCCACCACTCTTGCTTGCTTCATGAAAATATGTTCCCTAGAGTTCCACCTTGCCCCACAGTCTGAAGCCAGACACAAGTTAGAGGATTACCTCAGAACCAGCTCTGCTTTGCTCCATATTTCTTCATTTCTAAAATGCTTATTAGTGTTTAGGTTGTTTTTTTTTATTTAAAAATCAGAGGTAGAAGATTTTCAGTGTTTATTGTAAATAAACAGCCTGTTTAGCTCTTTGGCTTCTGATTTGGTTTGACAAAGTGTTTTTATTTAAGTTCTGTAAATGTAATAATTTGTATATCTTTCTCCTAAAGTGTGAACACATGCCAACCATGCTAGATAGCACCCGAGTGGAGCACCAAGGTAGTAGAGCTCTGATCATGTTCTATCAATCCAGCTAATTGTGGATCTTTTTATAATAGTTTGTTATGAAACAATTTAAATGATCACTCCTGAATTAGCATCCCATTGAGATAAAGGGAAAAATTTGCATCTTTATTGTCCTTACCACACCCCACAGGTATACATTTACTTGAGCATAAATGGGTTTTATGCAGAAAATGATTTGGGGTGGGAGAGGAATTTTGTTTGCCTATCCCACCCAACCTAGTGGTGAGGCACAAAGTGACTACACAGTCCCTCTACTACTACTACTATTATAGTAACAAGATAGGTCTCCAGTGGGACAGTGTTTGGCCTATGTAGTGCCCCTGGCCATGAGACTGCTCGCATCTTGAAGCCTCCCTGCAAAGAGTTCCCTTGCATAATGGAACAACAGTGGCTTTTTTTGCAGTTAGGGACTTCTTCTATAGTGAAGGGATCTTATATGGTTCTCAGAGATACTGGTAAAACTTTAATTAATGACTTGCCTAATGAAGTGGAAAATATACTTCCAAAAACATGCAGATGACTCCAAAGTTGGAGTGCAAACACTTTGGAGGACAATTGAAGAAAAACCATGACAAATAGAGAATTGGTCTGAAATCACAGGAAAATTTAATCAAGTGAAGAGTATAACACTTAAGGGTGCATTTAATTTTTTTTCTTCTTACAAATCAGGGAATGACTAGGTGGGTGATAGTACTGCTGAGAAGGATCGGGTGTAAAATGGATCATAAAGTGAATAATCTTGCATTAACTGCAGTGTCATATGTAAGAAGTGGGACGTAACTGTCCTGTTCTACTTGACAGTTCTGGGGGGCATGCTTAAAGAAAGATGTGGACAAATCGGAGAGTCCCAAGGAGAGCAATACAAATGATAAAAGGTTTAGAATACTTGACCTACGAGGAAGAGTTAAAAAGGAGTGTATTTAGTTTTGAGGGGGTGGGGGAAGATTTGAGTCTAGTATTAAAATAGGCGGGGGGACCTGACAGTAGTATTTAAAATGTTAAGGGCTGTTATAAAGAGAATGGTGAGCTATTGTTCTCCAGATTCTGGGAAAGGACAAGTAATCTGCTGCAAGGGAGAGTTAGGCTAGATGGTGGGAAAAACTTTCTAATTATAAGGATAGTTAAGCACTGGCATAGGCCTCAAAAAGTAGGTGGTGAATCCCTACCATTGGAGGTTTTTAAGAACATGTTAGAAAACATGTCAGGAATGGGCTAAGTCAGCAGTTCTCAAACTTTTTGGGCTCTGGAGCTCTTTATAGATGTAAAAATTTATGCAGAGGCCCAGTGGTCCACTAATTGTATGTGTTGTACCTATCGATGTTTCCAGTTTGTCAACCTCGCACAGCCCCTGGAGATATCTCGTGGAGCCCTGGGGCTCCACGGAGCACAGTTTGAGAAACACTGGGCTAAGTATACTTGGTCCTGTCTCAGCATCGGGAATTGGAGAGAAATTGAGAGAAAGCTCTCAAATTTCTTCCAGCCTTAAGGGAATTGGATTAAAGAAAGCTCTCAAATTTCTTCCAGCCTTACATTTCTACAGACCTTGCTGTAATTAAATATATAAGCAGGACATGACTTTAGGGAGATTTAAGGCTAGTTTGAAGGGGTTTTGACAAACTGATTTTGAGCTACGAGAGAACAACATTGGGCAGAAGTCCAAACTTCAGATTAGGATAGCTTTTTAATTACATGAAGCTCAAAATGTGTAGGATGAATTTCCTCAAACTTTTCACGGACATCCTTCACAGTAAATTGTGCAACTTTTAGGCCAAGCGCATGATCTGAGCCCAAGTTACAAGGGACTAAAATAGAGCTTTATGATAGTCTGGATAAAAATCTTTGATTTAAAAAAAAAAAAGGCACTTTAAAAAAATGAAACTAAATTTCTGTAATTTAAAAAAGTTAGTTATATCCCCTCACAAACATGCTAAGACTATACTTTTACAATTTCATAAAAATGAATGAATACTAGTCTGTGCAGTCTAACTACCAGCTCTTGCTTCTTGAAAGTTCTGAGGTTTCAGTTTCTGTATCTCAGCAGACTAAAGTCACATGTGCAAAGAAAGTTGACTGGCTAGGATGGTTTTTGTTTTGTGCTTATGTGGTAGCCAAAGCTGGGCCAAACGCAGCAGAAGAGTTAGACAGAGACAATATATAGGAAAGAAACAGTGGAGTGGACTGGACTGGAAAGAAAAGGGAAGACATTATTAAGCACACACACAGCTTCCAATATTCCACTACACTTTTGCCACCAAATAACTGTCCTAGCTTCTAGGCAGAAGAGAGACCCTATTTGGGAATATTTGGAAGAAATTCATTCCCTGGGTAAAAATGGAAAATGTATCAAGTGTAAGCAGTGCAAAAGGAGGTACAGGGCCTAGTTGCAAGAATGAAACATAAGGAAAGCTGCTTATTGGGAGAAAACGATGTGGATGAAGATGTGGCTATGTCTGATGGACAAATGGATCAACTGGTTAGTAACTTAAATAATTCACTTTGCAATGCATCATTCTTTATGACTCTCTATGCCTGGGGGGAAAGAGGCAGTCCCAGACTGAGGGGGAAGAAGGGAGAGAGACCCCCAGCCAGCCCGCCGACTCCTTTCACCTGCCTAATGATTCTGTCCCTTTTCTGTATGGTTTTATAAAAAGCAATCCTAATACAGGGGCATCCCATTTTCCTGGCATAACCAAACCCTGACTTTGCTTTAAGTTATGATAAGAGGAAGCTGTATACCAAGTTTGGTGTTCCATTTAGGAGGAGCTCTTGAACAGACACACAAACTCTCTAATATTCTTCCTACATTAATAATCAATTTATCTAAAAAAAAAAAAACAACAAAGTATACCCTCCCAGATGTAAAATGCTGTACTGTGTTGTAAATTAACATGTTAAACTGGGTGGGGTTGCAACTTCTTTGGAGGATAGGGACATAATTCAAAATGACCTTAGCAAGTTAGAGAAATGGTCAGAGGTAAACAGGATGAGGTTTAATAAAGAGAAATGCAAAGTGCTCCACTTAGGAAGGAACAATCAGTTCCATACATACAAGATGGGAAGCGACTATCTAAGAAGGAGCATAGCGGAAAGGGATCTAGGGGTCATAGTGGACCACAAGGTGAATATGAGTCAACAGTGTGATGCTGTTGCAAAAAAAGCAAATATGATTCTAGGTTGTATCAACAGGTGTGTGGTAAGCAAAACTCGTGAAGTCATTCTGCCGCTCTACTCTGCACTAGTTAGGCCTCAAATGAGTACTGTGTCCAGTTCTGGGTGCCACATTTCAAGAAAGATGTGGAGAAATTGGAAAGGGTACAGAGAAGAGCGACAAGAATGATTAAAGGTTTAGAGAACATGACCTATGAAGCCAGGCTTCATGAACTGGGCTTGTTTAGTTTGGAAAAAAGAAGATTAAGGGGGGACATGATAGCGGTTTTCAAATATCTAAAAGGGTGTCACAAGGAGGAAGGAGAAAATTTGTTCCTCTTGGTTTCTGAGGACAGGACAAGGAGTAATGGGCTTAAAGTGCAGCAGGGGAGGTTTAGATTGGACATTAGGAAAAAATTCCTAACTGTCAGGGTGGTCAAATATTGGAATAAATTGCCAAGGGAGGTGGTGGAATCTCCCTCTCTGGAGATATTTAAGAACAGGTTAGATAGACATCTGTCAGGGATGGTGTAGACGGAGCTTGATCCTGCCTTGAGGGCGGGGGGCTGGACTCGATGACCTCTCGAGGTCCCTTCCAGTCCTATTATTCTATGATTCTATGAAAAGTCTGTCAGGGATGGTGTAGACGGAGCGTGGTCCTGCCTTGAGGGCGGGGGGCTGGACTCGATGACCTCTCGAGGTCCCTTCCAGTCCTATTATTCTATGATTCTATGTTTTAGTGATCAGATTTGCACCGTTGTTTAAGAAATATGTGAAGAAGTATCTGTGGGAAACTTGATTTATATCAATCTTCCCTGCTTTATAATGGAAAATGGTTGCAACTTTTATGGCAAGGCTGTGTCTCCATAACATCAGGAAAGGTGCAGAGCTGCTGTAGTACTGGTACAGAGGTAAGATGCCAAAAAAGAGGTTTTTCAAGTTGTCTTAGGAGAATTCAAATCCATAAATGTCTTATTCTGTACTAATGTCTTATTTAAAACTCACTTCAACATACACATTCAGGAGAAAGCAACATCAAAAACACAGGACAGCTTTAGAGCAGAATTTTATTTGCCCTTTCCAGTCAGTCTTGAGCACAAAGGAAGTGAATAAAGTGTACACATCTTCAGGTTTACCTCTCCTTTTCAGCAATAATGCTCCAACCCATCTTATCTGCTTCAAGCCGTTTCACTGTTGGTTCTAAACCAGAATAAGGGATGGGAAAATGAATCAGTTGGGAAACATGTGTGAAGGATTTAGGAGGGTGTGCAACCAAGGAGAAGGGCAAGAAGTTCTAGACAAGAGTCAATTCTCACCTTGCTCCCATGTGTAGTCTTCCTATGTTATCCAAACCACAGCAATTTTTTTCAAGTCAATCACTTGGAAATACAGTAAAGATTGAACCTCTCTAGTCTGGCATTCTCTGGTCATGGCATGATTATCATGGGTGTGGCCAAGTTTCCTACAGTCCCATAAAGTTTATTTACAGACACCAGTCCTAGCGCTCAGAGTTCTGTGCTGTTATTTAGCTCTAATTTACCTCTAAATGTTGTCTAAGAGCCCAGTAAACAGTGGGAAGTGTTTGTAATGCTGCTACACACTACTGACCCCCCGTAGTTTAGTAAATTCTCTGGTTCAGCAAAAGTCAGGTCCTGAAAGTGCCAGACTAGAGAGGTTCGACCTGCAATTTGTTGGTATGACAGTGGGGACTTTGTATTCCAACCACCAAGCTTATTTGGAACCAGAAGTATCAAGCAGGCAGCAGCAGAGATGGGGTGAGGGAAGGTTAAACTCAACCTTCTAAAACTAGTGGTTCCCAACCTTTCTGAGCGCACGGTCCCCATTTCAATGTTAAAATTTTACGGACTCCCCAAGTTGAGTAGCAGAAAGCGGGGGCTAGCACATCCCTTGGCCTGTGCTGCTTCCTCCGCTCCTGCCCCCTCTGTCCCCTGCCCATCCATGGAGCGAGAGGGCTCTCGTGGCCAAAGGCAGCTCCTCTCTGGCACTCTGCCCTTGCCTGGGCACAGAGTCCTAGGGGAGGAAAAAAATAAGAAAAGGCAAAGAAAAGTAAGGATCATGGGACTGGGACGCGGAGAGGGCTGGAGCATAAACACCAGTGCAGCTGGCTACGGGAAGACGGATGGTGTCTCCTGGGATATCAAGATCCCATCCCGAGGGCGGGAGGCAATGTGCATGTGGCTAGTTACGAACAGTGAACCCTGGGTGAGAATCACCTGGTGGAAAGAACCAGTCCCACAGTGGGCCCAATCCTTACTTTTCCTGAACTTTCCATGGACGCCCTATAGTACTGTCAAGGACCACAGGTTGGGAACCACTGTTCTTAAAAAAAATTAAAATGAAAGCAGCATTCATTTTTCTTCTACATAGTGAAGCCTTATGAGCTGTATTAAGCCAATGTTCAGTTGTAAACTTTTGAAAGAATAACCATAATGTTTTGTTCAGAGTTATGAACATTTTAGAGTTACGGACTCAGAGGTGTTCATAACTCTGAGTTTCTGTCGAAGGTCTGGAACAGTGGTTCCCAAACTATAGATTGTGACCCCCAAGTGGGACTGTGCCATCAGCAGACAGGACTGTGGTCACGTCATCAGTGGATATTCTCCTGAGTGTGGGCAGGATGCCATTTTGTTCCACATAGTGTGACCTTGCATGTACAATGTGTGTGCGGTCATGCTTTGTGGCCCACACAATGCTGCTCCACAAAACAGCATCCTCCTGAGATCACAGGAAGCAAGAAATCAGAAAATGGCGTTATGCAGGTAAATAGTTTGGAACTTCTCTCAGCATCAGGTCCAACTGAGTTTTGTGCAGGTTTGTTTTTTTGTTCTTTGCTTTTCCTAAGATGATGATTCTTCTTCCTGTACAGTGTCGCTGTCAATGTCTTTCTGAGGTTCCTGAGTTCTGTAGAAACAGTCAGGAGCTTTTGTTAAGTATTGGAAATTATCTAAACCTCTTTATTATTTGCATGAGAAGCAGAAGTAGTCAGCCATACAAATCATAAGCACAAAGAGTAGTAGGGGAGCCTTATTACTTGATAAAGGTGTAACTGAGTTCTACTTTTTACCTGTGAAGGCACAGATTAGAACTCTTTAGGAACAAGGAAAAAGAATGTGTGTCTAGCCAAAGATGGGCAAGTTCATTCTATATTCTTATTACTTTGATTACCTGTGAGTTTCAGGATCTTCCTCCCTTGGAAGGTCAGTAGCATCTGTCCCTTTGTTCCTTACAAATTCCTCATTCAGCCCCACCTGACAAAGGGTGTCCTGATAGTGTTGCTCTGCCTCTCGCCGAGCATCATGCTGTGGAATTGAAACAGAAATATGAACCAACCAAAATTGGATCCTTCCCCATAATGGACACCCTAAAATAATTTTATCTAGAGGGATTCAGTCCCTAGTAGCTACACAGGAAGTTGTGATCATACAGAAAGCTCTGTTCATTGTCAGTTGGACTATATCAGAGTTAGGTACTAAAAGAGTATGATCCACAGATCCGACCCAACTGTGACTCACTTCCTTCTACACTCCTGTTCCTTGCCTGACTCTCACTCCCTGTGAACAGCACCCAAGTCCGAGTAGGCCAATAGCTGCACCCTTCTTTCTCTGTGCTGGTTCTCAGTTTGAGGGAGAAGTTGGGTGAGTAGGTGGGACTGGTGTAGGAATTAGATCCACTTTGGAGTCCCACCCAGCCCTCTTGAAAGAAGGGAAAAGTCTCCCCCTCTCAGTGCAACACCTTTCTGTAGTAAGGGGAGGGGGCTGAAAAAAGCCTATTTATCACAGGCTTCCTTATTCATCTCTATAATGAGCTACCAATATATTCTATGCTCCATATTTGTACTGGAACTTTGAGTGGTTACCTTTGTGACCTGTTCGAAGAGGTATGGTCTGTTCTTTACTCGTATCTCCATTTCTTCCAGTTCTTTTTTGTACTCCTTTGTTCTTTTTTGGTCATTCTGCCTGAAATGAAAAAGTTATTTGACTAACAGTGGTGTCCTCTGATTGACTGCTTGGTTTCTGATCAGTTGGAATGACCTTCTAAATCTTCATCTCAGATAATCCATGACATTCTCTTACTTGCTTTGTTTCTGCTTCACATACTGACTGCATCAAACAAAATGCACTTATGCTGCTTCAGATTACACAGCACTAGCTAATGTTCCACTAGAAGGTGAGCAAACAAAACAAACACAAACATTGAGGTTGCATTGGTGGAGGTATCTCAGAAAGTGTGGTCCTTGTTGCTTTTTCTATCAGTTTGGAAAGAGCAGTATTGAAATTAAAAAAAAAAAAAAGAAGTCCGTGAAATAGGCCTGGCTGCTTAAAAAAAAAAAGCTAGATTTTGGGTCATATGTGCCCAGGCTCACCCTTACAAACTAATTATCTTTTGTTGTTAAAAATAATTGGCTGCTGCAAAGAGCCATTTATCTGTGTGACCTGGGATACTGACCAGTTCTCTTTCAGCTTCTCCTTATGTGTCTCCTCCAAACTTTTATGGGGATCCATGGCTTTTGCTCGGCTGCTCAGAGATTTGTGCATAGCCTGACATTTCTTTCTCTGTACTTCCATCCAGTGAATTTCTTTTTTCTCCCTGCTCTTTTTGTTTTCCTGGAAGTGTCTAAACAGAGAGAAGTTAGTAGTGAAGCAGCAGGTTCATTTCAGAGTTCAGGACTATTGGCTGGGAATCACATACTGATAATGGTGAAATGTGCCTAGTTGTCTAAAAGGGTTATGATGTTACTGCCTTGTAATGCCAAAACACTAGGGGGCAGCATAGCAAGAGAGGGGAACAAGCAAGTGAAGGGGACTAGCAAGGAAGAAATACATGGAGGAGGAAGATGAGAGGGGGAAGACAATAGGCACTTGGATACCAAAGTGATGGGATTAAAGGCCAGCCCAAGGAGGAGTGCTAAAAGGGGTGGAGCAAAAAGGGCAGTTGCACCAGGGTCTGGTGATTCTAAAGTGGCGGTGGTGGTGGACAGGAGTCCCAGGTCCTTTAAATCACTATCATAGCCCTGTGCAGCACGCTCTGGGTGGTGCTGAGACTGCTTGTGAGAGGCTAGCCCCAGCCCCAGCCCTGCCCCTTCCGGAGCACAGAGCCATTTCCCCCTGGCTTGCCTAGGGGCCTGGTGTGTATCTTGGCCCCTGTGTGGGGCTATATAAGAAATGACAAAGAAAGAGGGAGACGTACAGCCCATTCTATTAGCCTAATTTAACCCGGACACTATAATTGACAGTTTTTTTCTCCTCCCCATATCCCTTCTTTTTCTGCTTTCAATTTTTGGGGGTTTTGTGCCCCTCTGTTTTTCTTACTTCACTCATCTGAAGAAGTGGGTTGTGCCCACGAAAGCTCATGATACCATCTATATTCTTTTGTTAGTCTCTAAGATGTCTACACTTGTTATTTCAAAATAACAAGGTGAGCATCCACACTACTAAGCCTGTTACTTTGAAATAATGGGCTTGTTATTTTGAAATAACTCCTGCTTGTGAAGTGGAATATGCTTATTTCAAAATAGTTATTTCCGGAGTTATTATTTCAAAATAACATGTTGAAATAACCTGGTAGTGCAGGCATAGCCTAAAGTGCTACAGGACCACTCTTTTTTTAGTTTTTTTAAGGGAGACCAGACAGACATGCACAGGGAAAAGTAGGTTTCCTACAGAAGTCAGCCCCTCAATGGCGGAGAAGCTACTTCCAGAAAAAACAATACAGGCATTGCTGGGAATAGTAGGTGTGATAGGGAAGAGCGAAACAATTTCAAATGTCTTTCTCTATTATTAGTGGAGCACTTTTTTTCCTACTTACCTAATAGCAGATTCCCTCTTTCTTGTTGCATCTGTAATATGCACCGGAAGGGTATTGGAAGAGAGAGATGAGAGACCAGTCAGAGAATGGCTTCTTTGCACTGGAGGCTTGGAAGGCTGCTGAAAATCCTGAAAAAAAAATCTAGTTTAGTGAAATTGTGAAAGATACAGAATCTCTTCTGTTGTTCTTTAGATGGCTATTGAAAGGACTCAAACATACCTGCAGCAATCTGTGAGGGCAGACTTCCAATTCATGCCTACCAATGAAGTTTGATTGGAGTCCTTACACATGGCATTGGAGAGATGAAAAAGAATCTTGCCCATCTCTTGTCACTATAGCTTTTGTCTAGGGTTTTGTTCAGTCTAATTTTAAAGACCTTCTTTTCACCACTTCCCTTGAAAGACTACTCCACATCCCACTGGAATGGGATGCATGAATTTTCCTTTTCTTCTCGCTTACTTATAAAATATAAAAAAACTTAAGAATTCATAATGTTTGCAAAGAAGTGAGTTTCTGATAAATTGCACAAATTGCTCAACATAGATAAGGAAATAAGGTTACTGAAACAAAATTCACAAAACAAAGTATAAATTGTAATACTTCTTCTTAGCAGTGGAAAAGCTGCTATTCTGGAATGCACTGTTGCATTTCAAGGCTCCAGGCACTCTTGGAGGCAGCCCACTGAATCAGTGTTTTCATGCTCAGCTGCTCATATTCATAGAATCATAGAATACTAGAACTGGAAGGGACCTCGAGAGATCATCAAGTCCAGTCCCCTGCCCTCATGGCAGGACCACGCTCTTACATATCTCCAGTGATGGAGATTCTACAACCTCCTTAGGCAATTTATTCCAGTGTTTAACCAGCCTGACAATTAGGAAGTTTTTCCTAACGTCAAACCTAATTCTCCCTTGTTTCATTTTAAGCCCACTGTTTCTTGTCCTATCATCAGAGGCCAAGGAGAATATTCCCTCCCCCACGCCCCTACCCTCGGCATCTGATGATAGGACAAGAAGCAAAGGGTTTAAACTTCGTAACTGTCAGGGTAGTTAAACACTCCACATCACTGGAGATATGTAAGAGCGTGGTCCTGCCATGAGGGCAGGGGACTGGGCTTGATCTCTTGAGGTTCCTTCTAGTTACAGTATTCTATGAATACGATAAGCTGAGCATGAAAACACTGATTCAGCAGGCTGCCTCCAAGAGGCATATTACTCATACTGCTCATATTACATCATGAACCCAATTTTTTCCCTCTAGTAGAAATAGCTCATTGTACTCTTATTTTGGGGAAGGTCTTTATCAGAGTCTATTCCCCTCAGTTCTCCTCCAGAAGGCTGAAGTTAGATTGGACCTGACTGAGGCTGTGTCTAAACTACATCCCTTTTCTCGAAAAAGGAATGTAAATTAGACACTTTGAAATTGCAAATGAAGCCGGGATTTAAATTTCCTGCGCTTCATTTGCATAATGGTGGCCACGTTTTTTTCCCGAAACGGGGCTTTTTGAAAGAAAAATGGCTGTTTAGACGGGGATCGATCGAAAATAAAACCCTTTTTCAAAAGATCCTGTACTCCTGAAAAAATGAGTACAGGATCTGCCTAAGAGTAGGCAGAAGTGTCTGAGCATTGGCTTCTTTTGCCTCACTCCTGTGTGTGTGGCTGGCCATGGATCTACAGAGGGGCTATCTTAGACAACAGCGGACAGGTCTCCCTTCAGATTGGTCAGCTTCAGTAAAAATATATCTACCTATGTATCTGAGAGAGTTTGTCTATCTGTGTGTTTGTCTTTTTTCCAATAACTCCTCCTAAACAGTAAGGCTACGTCTACACTGGCCCCTTTTCCAGAAGGAGCATGTTAATTTCACCTATCGTAGTAGGGAAATCCGCGGGGGATTTAAATATCCCCCGCGGCATTTAAATAAAAATGTCCGCCGCTTTTTTCCGGCTTTTAAAAAAGCCGGAAAAGAGCGTCTACACTGGCCCCGATCCTCCGGAAAAAGCGCCCTTTTCCGGAGGCTCTTATTCCTACTTTGAAGTAGGCTCTTATTCCTACTTTGAAGTAGGAATAAGAGCCTCCGGAAAAGGGCGCTTTTTTAGAGCCACCAAACTTGGTATGCAGCTTCCCCTTCTGACTTAAAGCAAGGTCAGGGTTTGGTTGTGCCTGGAAAATGAGATGCGCCTGAAATGGGATAGCTTCTCATAAAACCAAAGAGAAAAGAGATAGAATCACCAGGCAGGTGAAAGAGGCTGGCTGGGGTTATGCTCCCCCTGCCCTCCCTGTCCAGGACTGCTCTAGCCCCAAGTCTCCCACCTTCCAGGCACCTTTTAGGAAGAGCGAGGGGGGGACCTGAAGCTCCCCACCACCCCTATTCATATTGTAACATTGCTGGCTGTTCCTTTTCATCAGGGAGCAAGAGGAAAGTGCAGTTTGCTGCATTCCTTACTTTGGCTGGGGAGCGCAAATGGCAGATAAACCTGGACCTGACCCAGCTGGGGGGACAGGCACCCCTTCCCTAGCTGTGCTCACTGGAACTGTAGCAGCCATGGAGAGGTGCTTCTCACCTGGCCCCAAGCTGCTGCAGTGAGAGAGGGCTGGGGTAGTTCTCTCTACCCAGGGTAGTCTGCATATTGAACCCTACATCCCAGCCCCACCCCAGAACAATGATTTTAAATGAAGCATGTACATTTTCATTTCATTTTCCCCCAACCAAAAACTATTTGAATTTAGGACCAAGCAACACCAGATACATCTTCTAGTAGAATTATAAATTAAAAGACAGATCCCAGCAATCTGACACCTAGAGTCATCATCCCTCACCTTCATTATCTGCTCATTAGCCTGCTTCTGCCTGCAAAGGAGACTGGAGGTTCTCAGTTTAAATGGTTGATTATGAGTTGGCTCTTTGACTTCTCGTATCCTTATTGCTTCTCTCTGATATGCCCAATACAGTTTTTCAAAATCAGGTACAACTGGGTTAATTCTTGGTTTAAAGCTGAAGTCATCTTGCAGGAAGCCAAGTTTTTCTTGCTTAGTTTTGGTGGCAGTTCGGGAGTATGACTCTCTTTGTCTGTTGCTAAGATCAATAGGAGCGAAGGAGTTTTCCAAAAGATCCTTGGCTCTCATCTGAATGCGGATTTTTCTGTAGAGTTCAGCTTCTGGGAATCAAAACCAAATCAATGAGAAGAAAGACTTCAAGAGGATGTTGGTAATTGACAACATAGAAAAGGGAGAGGTTGGGAGCAGCTAACATAGATAGAATGTTCAATATTTGTTTGCTTAGAGCATTTTTCCACCCAAAATTCAAGATTAGTGTGATGGCACATTGGGGTTTTCCCGTCTCCTGCACCCCCGTAATGGCACGGACAGACTCCACCAGCCAGTAGAACAGAGGGAGGTTATTGCTTCTCCAGGATACAGCACAGCACAGATCTAATCTGGTTACAGGGCAGGCCTAGGATGCCTCAGCCCCCCTTGAGATGGGGGAGCCTGGGCCCCTAAATCCCAGCCCGTTGCCTCGGCTGCTTCCTCCATGATACCAGCCAGAAACCTAACTAACTCACTTCCAGCCCTGCCCCCAGCCAGGGCTCCATTCCCCTTCTTCCCATTGTTCCTCTTCCTGGGAGATAACTGGTCAGACAGGTTTGAAGCCCCCTTGCATAATGACTCATCCCCTGCCCTGCTGGGCCGTCCTGCAGCCAGCAGCCAGTGGAAGTCACTCACAACCCTATCCTAGCAACCAGCAAGGTACCCACACTACGTCACAATTAGTCCTTTATGACTTTTCCCTAACACCTTACAAACACCATCGACTGATTTTTCTGTCTTGCTGTGGCATAAGTTAGTGAGTACACCATTCGCCCCTCCCACTCAGGATGCAGTTGGTTGTTTCACCACCACCACAAACAAGGGTGCTGTTGAGGGTAGCTGTACCCTTCTATCCTGTATGAATGTCATGGTAAGATACTGCAACTCAAATATTTTTACAAGATGATTTTTTTTCTATTTGGGATCCATTCATCTTAGTCCTCATAAAAAAAAATCTGGGCAAAAATATAGTACATTCAGTGGGGAGCAGAGCCTTGCATCCCTGAAGTCCTCATTTCCTGTAATTTCTGGGCCTAATTTTCCATGAGACATGAGCAGTGTATGTTGTAAGGATAATTTGCATACTTGACTCTTTTCATGTTTGTTGTTTTCATGGATGCTATGTAAACAATCATTTTTCCACTTTTAGAAAAGATGGTGGATAGTGCAGATGGTGCAATAAGGTTAAAAATGTTCACTTTTTTTTTTGCTGATTCCCATGTAACACATGAAACCTGCATTCGTGGGTATCTAAATGGTCATTTGCTTAATTGCAATGGTACACGGTACACACGCTGACTGCTGGGATATCAACCATGCCAGCATAGAATGGCAAAACAATGATCCACCCAGTCACTTAGCACTGTCAGATCACATCAGTTGTCTAACTTATCAAATGTCCTTTAATCTTGCTCTGCCAACTCTGTCACAGCGGAGCATAGTGCATGTAGCTTGGAATCAACAGTCTGACCCCAGTCCAGTCAGTCCAACAGTCCATTTAGTTCAGTACATTAAAGATAATTTTTTCACCTGCTATATTAAAGCAAGCATGCTAAATGGGGAATAAAACCAGAGGCAACAGTAAAGGGAACGAGATCATAGCAATTAGAAAATGACCAATGCAAATTTCGATAGTATAGGCAAATACATCATGAACATGGAGATGATTTGAGACTGTATATGGCTATGGTGAACTCTGCCTGCAATAGTGGTTTGAATTCTTGGCACCAAAGTACCAGAAAGATATTGACAAAGTAGAGGGACTGAGAAGAGCAATGAAAATGATTGGGGGATTGATTTCTCAAGAGCTAAGTATGTGCTGGTTGCCTAAACAACAATTCCTGGGAAACAAATCTATAAATATCTGAAGGAAGGAAAATGTACATACGGGTCTTCAAGTAGGCACATTTAGGTTGAATATGAGGAAAAGTTCCCTGACAGAGCTATATTTAGCCAAGGAATTCTTGCTTGAAGGAACTGGTAGAAGCTTCATTGATTAGAACATTAAAAGTGGACAGAGCCCTGGAAACAGACAGTGGGGAACAATCCTATATGAGAGACCTTTATAACTTAATAGATATCTCCCATCTTGAACTTTTAAGCTTCATCTTGTCCTTTAATATTCTCCTTCCAACTCTGTCAAACCAGCATAGACTATATAGCTTAGAATCAGTTATCTGGAAATTTTTCACCATCTATTTAATACACCAGTGGCCAATACTAGATGTCAAAAGAAGGTGTAAATTCTCTGAGCTAGTAACTCTCATAAAAGCTTGTACTTTCACATTAATTCATCAACTTACAGAGGGTGAGTCAATGAGCTCAGGGACACTTGTGCCTTTGCATCAGAACAGCACGTTTAAGCAGCTGAGCTAATGAATTCAAAGATGCTTTGACATCAGCCCAGATAGAGACACTGAGGCTATGTCTACACTGCAGGCTTCTTGTGCAAGAAGCCTTTTGCACAAGAGTTTTTCCACAAAAACTTCTGGCACAAGAGCATGTCCACACCTCAAAGCGCATCACAAGAACCATGTGCTTTTGCGCAAGAAAGCGTCCACACTGCATGGACGCTCTTGTGCAAAGAATGGCCATCAGAGCACCTGTGCTTTTTCCCAAGAAACCCTTCTGGAGCATCCACACTTGCCTTTTTGCGCAATAGCTGTAGCGCAAAAGGGAGTTATGCCTCATAGAAGGAGGTTTACCTACACCAGCAAAAGCCCTCTGTTCTGCCATTTTACTGCTGATTTACTTGAGCAAAAGATCATTTGAGGTGTGGACTTTCCACAGGATTTTGCGCAAAAACAGCCATTTTTGCACAAAAACTTTGCAGTGTAGACATAGCCTGAGTGCTCAGACACATTATTTCCTTTAACAACAGATCAAAAATCTAGAGGTTTTAATTTTGTAACTTAAGGGAGACTTCTAACTTGTTAGCCAAGCAAGCTAGACCTGTGCATTGACATCAGCCCACCCAGTTAAAAGAGCTGAGTCAGTGCCATCACAGAGTATGTCCTCTGATATCAGATTAACAAGCCAGAGATGTTGTGTCCTAACTTTTATGGCTCCTGCTTTTGCTTCTTCATTGACTGGTAAAATGAAAATTCATCTGGTAAAAAAAAATCAGGTGTGGCTTGCCTGAGCACTTTATATAGGACTCCAAGCCTTGCTACTAGTATATGTGGAACAGCAGTGGTACCTGATATGAGAAAATGATTCTCAAGTTGTAATGTCCCATCTGTCTTCTTTTGTTTACAGGAAGATCTGTCCCATTGCTGATTCCCCCTCCCAAGGGAAAAAAATGAATTAGCCTATCAAGTTCCTCTCCTGTTCTTGCATCCCATGGTGGGATGTGTGAGAGGAGAGGGTGGTTGGGAATACAAGGGATATACTCCTACAGTGTTCCCATTCTGTGTACGCATGTATACTTGCACATGCTCATGATCAAAAAGGTATGAGGTTACTTAGAGACATGGAGATTTTTCAAAGTCCAACATTCCCATTCTCTTCCCTAGGCCATGTTCCATCAAACAGGTTGATGCAATCTCATGTCCCCCCATGACAATATCACTACAATTGGTGGCTCCCCCTCCTATTTTGATATACTTTAGCTTTTTTCTCAGTACAACAGTGGTGCTGGACAGGAGGGGTGGTGCTGAGTTGCACCCACCCTAATCCATCAGTGCTCCTCACGGCCTCCTAGGAGATGTGGTCTAGTGGTCAAGATCCAGGGCAGCAGCAGGCATGCAGTTGGGATGCCAAAAACCTGGGGGTGCTGCAGCACTCCCAACACCCCTACTTCCTATGCCTGTGCATTACAGAGACAATGTGTGTAAGGCAATATCTTATAATGGGCTAACTTCTGTTGGTAAAAAAGATAAACTTTTGTGTTACACAGAGCTTTTCTTCAGGTCTGGGAAATGTATTCAGAATGTCCCAGCTAAATGCAAGGTTGAACAGAATTTACTTATGCAGTTTAACCTTGTGTTTAGCTATAACACAGAGTACCTTTTCCTGAACAGAATAGAAGTTCTGTGTAACTTAAAAGCTTGTCTCACCAACAGAAAATGGTCCAATTAAATACATTATCTCACCCACCTTGTGACATGGGACATGGCTACAACAACACTTTGTTATCCCTTCATATAATCCACATAACTATGCAATTCTATGCTGTGGAGAAAATGTCTTCCTCATTCACATGCTGCAGATGCTTGGAAGTTCAAACTCTGAAGTAGGCAGTGAGAGTACCCTGCCCTGCTGTTTCTTTTACTCACCCTCTGATAAAATAAATATTTGTACATGGTGGATGGACAGGCTAACAAAAGGCCTTCTTTCAATCCCTACATATGGGATAACAGCTTGTTTCTTATGGCTCTGAACAATCTTGATGCTTCTCCTGAAGAGATAACCCTGTCAGGAAGTGCCTGACCGGACAAGGAGCAGAACATATTATTTCCCAGTATGTATTGCCATAGTCAGACAGTGAGAAAGAAGACAGGCAAAGTGAGTCAGACATGGAATCCCTTCTACAGGAAGACCACTAAACACTTTACCTTTGAGTTTATCCCCAAGAACTGAGTTATAGGTGGATTTAGGGATCATCTTGCTGTCTTTTGGTTTGGAGTTCTTAACTGGAGCCAGTGCTGCCAGTACCTTCTGTTTCATGGCCTCCTTTTTTTTCTCCTCCTTTTCCAGGAAGCTGAAGGGTCGCTGAGTGGAAAGGAGCAACTCTTTTCTTCTCTGCATTCCCACTTCCCTGCGAATCTCATCCTGCTCCATTATTTCCTGGTAGAGTGGCAAGTATACATGGGCAGGAACTGGCTGTGCCCGGAACTGCTTCTGGCACTCTGCCTCCTCCTGACTTTGCCTTTTTTCCCTTTGTTTCTCTAGCTCAAGGGATGCACGTGATCTCATCAACTGGGGCTTTTTACAAGCCTCACGCAGAGTCATCTTGAAGGGCTGAGGGATGGTGATAGTAGAGACCCAGGCAGATGCAGCAGTCTTTGGCCTCAGGTGGGACTGAGGAAGTGAGAGGGGATTTTTCTGATCCCAAAGGCTGTCCAGATTTAGGTCAGTTAAAGAACTGGACTGGCTTATGATACTAGATCTGTGGGTAGGACAAAGACACGACTATTAAGGCAGCAGGAACAAATAAAGTGATAAGAAATCTCAAAGGGATATGCAATAGAGAGTTACCTTCTGGCTGGATAGAAATGATACGTACATTTGTACAGTCCTTTGAGAAGCTCTGATCAAAAGTGCTATACAGGCAGTCCCCGGGTTACGTCAGTCCGACTTAAGTCGGACCCCTAGTTACGAACTGGGGGGCGGGCAGCTAGTGCAGGGTGCCTCCCCCACTGTCGCCGCCTCTGGCGGTGCGGGGGGCGCTTCCCCCCAGCAGATCAGG